TATCGTGGTTGATTTATGTGATTTATCTTTGTGATTATTGATTGTGATTTGAGGATAGTTGTTGAATCGAAAAGGGGTACTTCGCATGACTTAACCCAATCTATGTTTTTGGAGGTGTTCATGATGTTGTTATGGAAAATATGAATTAACAAACATCTTTTTTTGCTTTGAATGTATGGTGCTGGATTTTGTGGCCTACCCAATTGATTCATGTCTTGTGGACAATTCATGAATGTTTTAACTGTAATATTTTGGACCTGTTGTTGTGGCTACATTATTTTGCTCGTGGTTTTGCTGCCTTTCTGGACTGCCCAGATTAGTGTACCATTGTGGGAATTTGCTTGTGCGAATTTGCCACCTTTGTGGAATGCCCAACTGATTGCATGGTTAGGTTTATTGCACTTAGAAGTTGTTGTTGTGCTGCTTCTATGGCCTTTGAATCACTGGTCTGGTGACTGTGGCTTGGGCAGTGGGTTTGTTTGTGCATTCAAATAACTAAGTTCTCCATCATTGTTGCTTGTACACTGTAATATAATATAATGACTGAATCTTATGGATGATGACACAGGTGACCATTCTCACACTATGAAAGAATCACTTTGTTCATCGCGCTCCCCCTCATCCAAGGTTTTTGTCAAGTACACCAAAGCCTTCGGGTTACTGTCATCAGCACCTCTGCCGACAAAAAACAAGAGGCAATAGAACGTTTTGGTGTTGATTCCTTCTTGATCAGTTGTGACCCTGAACAGATGCAGGTAAGTTATGATTAATTTATTCATAATTAGAGAGTATTATTATTCATTTCGCTAACAGTTCTGATGATGATATGGTTTATAATTGGTCTTGGTATATATGGAAAAAAGGCTACAAAGAGCACACTTGGTGGGATAATAGACACAGTTTCTATAGTTCATCCTCTTACGCCACTACTAAGCTTATTGAAGACGAATGGTAAGCTTGTAAGCTTGTATTTGTTGGTCTCCCGGAGAAACCCCTTGACTTGTTGGCGTTTCCCTTGATCATGGGTATGTAATATTAGCCACCCTTCCATTCGAGTGTTGTACATATCTCTGCTCCGCCTTGGCATTGATCTAAAATGAACTAAATGACATTAATTTTATGTTTTGATTGTGGATCGCAAGAAGAAAATTGGTTGCAGGAAGTGGCATCGCTGGAATAAATTAAAGGAGACTCAAGACAACATAACATCACGCCTGATGTTGAGATTGTGCCGATAGACTATGTCAACACCGCCATGGAACGCCTAGCCAAAGCCGACGTGAAATACGGATTCGTATTGGATTTTTTCACAGAGGAATAGGATGGATTGAAAAGGTAGGGATGTAGAATATGCAAATTGTAAG